TGAAAAGCTGCTTAAGAAATTAAAGCAGATATCCAAATGGCCAGTGAATATAACAAAATGTCCTCAACATCTTTAATTATGGGGGAATCACAAGAAATCTGGGTTGGATGTAGAAGCTGCTGGCAGTACAGTTTCATCATTTAAAGTCATTATAGAACTCTAGAATCCATTAGGACCACAAATGATAATTCCATAGAAGAGACAACCTCTTTTGAAGCATGTTTTAAAAAACCCAACTTCACAAGGCAGGAGAAATGGTTCAGAGGCTAAGAGCACTTACTGCTCTTGCAGAGGACCCAGGTTTGGTTCCCAGCACGCATGTTGGGTACGTCAAAGCAGTCTGTAGCTTTAGCTCCAACTCCAGGAGCTCTGATGCTCTCCTTTGGCCTACACATACACTGCACACATAGAAACACACACACACACACACACACACACACACACACACAATTTTTTAAAATCCCCAATTGTAAAAATATTGTGTTGGAGGCATCTGCACTTCCCTGAGGGTTGCAACACCTGCGACAAGAGTCAAGCATCTAATCAAGTGCTCTCAGCTGATGGACGGTTGGAGAGGGTGTGATCCATACACAAGGGAATACTATACAGACACAAAATGAGTGGAACCTTGCCATCTGTGACCACATGGGTGGAACTGGAAGACAGTGAGTGAAATGAGCAAGGCATAGGGTGGCTGCTGTTGCATGAGCTCACTCACATCTGGTTCTGTAAACACAGTGTTCATAGAAGCTGAGACTAGATGGAAGATCTAGAGAAAGGATGGACAGGGAAAGGTGATCAGGGAGTGCTAAATTACAGATGGAGAGCAGCAGGCAGGTCTGCAGAGCAACGCACAGCTGCATAGCTTCAGATAGCCATATACCACACATCGCACAGTCACCAGTGAGGATCTAAAGAGTTATAACCACAGTGAAATGAGAAACATTTGAGGAGATATGTCCATTATGCAATGTTCACATGTATAAAATATTGTAGGAGGGGGCCCGTGAGTATCTGCCAGAATACCGGATCTGGTAACCTCTGCGCAGGTGCGCTATCATTCCGCAGCCAACTTCCCCAAACTGCTAACCTGATATGTGCTGCTCAGGCTAGAGACAGATGATATGAGGGTCACACCAATGGACAATACACAGCTCAGCCTTAGGGCCAATAGGGGAGGTTCAGGGGGTATGAAGGAAAGCCCTTTGTACGCAATAAACGAGCTTGCTGGCAACCTGCTACTGACTAGCATCTCCCGAAGTCTGAGTCGTTGATCATGCCTACTCATCCCCTGTCCCCCCCCTCCCGGAGACAGAGGTCCAACCACCACGAAACACAGCAACAAAATATTACATACTACCTGTTAATATGTACAAATTTTATGTTATTGTATATAAGTTAAGATACTGGGAGGGACTGGGGCTATAACTCAGCGGTCTAACACTTGCCTAGCACATGTGAGACCGTTGTTTTGATTTTAGCATTATAAAATGTATAAACAATAAATACATGTTTTAGAGGAGTGTATAGTCCCTAGAATGATTTTGAAGACTATGAAGAATCTGGAGTTCTGTTCGATAAAAGGAGTGGATCTGGGGAAGCAGCAATATTGTTTTCCTAATAAGTGATTTTGAAACAATTAGAAAAAAATGCTAGAAGCATTGGCTTTGGTTTTCTCTACGATGAAGAGAACAGTAACTTCTATGTAAGAGTACAAGAATTAAAAGAAAAAAACATGTCTAAAACTCTGCAGTGTCAATAAAGAGTTCAGTGTAAAAAGAAGTAATTAAAAATAAATGAGTAGATTGTTAATTAACTTTCCAAATATATGTATATTATATAGGCATGTCATGTGCATAAAATTACAGAAGAACTTTTGAATAACTATTCTGATCTTTTACAAATGTATCTGCTAATCTGATAGGAACTTATTTTTTTCTCCTTACATGTATCGTGTACTCTTAAAACCAGTTTTTTACATTTATTCATGTACAGGGGCATGTTTGACTATCAGAGAATGATTTGTGGCAGTCACTTCCATCCCATGGGTGCCAAAGATGGAACTCAAGTGGTTAGGCTTGGTAGCAAACTCCTTTACCCGCTCAGCCGTCTCACCATCCTATATCAGGTACTGCTGAAGTTGTCTTATCGGTATGTTCAAATGAGTATACCCATTCAGGAACTGTTGTCCGTGTACATCTGATTTCACTTCTTTGTTGTTGGCGTTTGCTAGTCTGTCTTCTCATGTGGGGATATTGCTTGTTTTTGTTTTGTTCTGTGGGACAGGGTTTTGCTATTCTGAACTCACCCTCTATCCTTGCTTCCTAGTTCTGGGATGACAAGGATGTGTTGCCATGCCTGGCTCACAGTGGGACACCATCTGTATTGAAATCTCATTTCTGTAAGAAGTTTCAATCTTAAGGTAAGTTATGTGTTTCCTGAGAGTATTTTTTAATTCCTTTCTGCCTAAAGATTTTTGTCTTTAAGATGGTTTTACTCATACAGGCATTATTTAAATTGGCCTTTGACCCATAGAATATAACACTTTTCAATTTTCACTGTATTTATATATGTGTGCATGTATGTATGCATGTTTGTATACAAGTGGCTATACAGAAAAATCTATCATCTATCTACCTTCCTATCTAATACGCGCACACGCACACACACACACACACACACACACACACACACACACTTTGCTATCCACCCAAAGTCAATGGTGCCTCTTGTCTACCTATGTCTGTTACTTATCCTATAGTTCTTTGCATCTTTAATGCAGACTGCATATCCTGATCTTGCATGCACTTTGTCTGCATTGCTTGAGTCCCAGACTTTATCTTCTGTCCATCACAAAAGCACAGACATAAACATTAGGAAATATCCCACCAGTAACACTCATCTCTCTTCTCAAGTTGCTTCATTGGTAACATTCAGGTTTGTCCCATTCCACACTAGATCTCATGCTCTAACCAGGTATGCTGTGTTCCTGTATCACAAGGGTCATCCTGGCTATCCAGGCCTCCACATTACTAGAACAAAACCAAAACAAAAACTTCTTTTTACTTTAAAAGTCCTATTTGTGAAAATCAGAATCTAAACATATAATTTAAAAATACAGGGGGGAAAAGCCCACAACAACTTCTATTTCTGAGTTCCTCAGTCTTCCTTCACACAAACACAAACCATGGTTTAAATGAGGACTTAATTATACACTGGAAAAGCTGCCGGGGAAGTTGGCAGACACTCTGCTTTTAGAAGCACTCTGCATGGATTTATATATCACATTTTACATAATGAAGACTTCTTTCACCACCGCCTCCTGAAGCAGAGTAATAATAATGAAGATAATAAGTTCTTTAAGAGGGACTGGGAGATATCAGGCAACAATTTGGGAGCTGAGTCAAGGAGTAAGGTAAGGGTGTCTCAAGTTTGGAGTGGGTGCCGGACACCCATCTTACACAGAGTAAAAGACTGCAGAGTTTGCAGCTCAAATTAGATTAAGCCTGAAGCCTCAGATTCCCTGCCTTGCATCAAGGCTACAAACATAGCTGGGCTCTGCAGCCTGTCCCCAGATCACACTCACAGGGAGTTTTACACATGCCTGTGCTCAACTTCTCTGCCTAGAAATTAGATCCAATTTTTGGACCAGTATTTGAGGAAATGTCTGAACAGGTGGGCAGCTAAAGGTGCTTATTCTACCTATGGCTCAGAACGAAATGAACAAAAATGCAGACCTTCATGTTTTAGCCCAGTTTCTGTTTGGTTTCTGAGAATGCTTGCTTGCAGCAAACTCTCATCAGCTCTTTCCTGGGCACCTGTCTCATTGCTTTTGCGCCTGTGTTGAGGTAGAAAGCCAAATACCTCCTTTGCAAAATTAACTCCTCTGCAGAGTCGATGCTACATGGAGAATATTTTCTTCCCATTGATTATAGCAGAGGTAACTCTGTGCAAGCTCTGAACTTAGCCTTAAAGTAACAGAGAGCTTCTGCTTTGGTTTGGGCAGCTAAGCAACCATGAAAAATATCTTGTCTATGGGATAAATGAAATGGAAAGTCCCTGGAACTCCATGAACATGGAATGGGCTCACCTACCAAGATCAACCTTGGAGACAGCAGCCATGGGTTTGAAGCCATCTCAAATCTCCCAGACTTGCCAATAGCCCTATAAATAAACCACACTGAGGGTCCACTACTAAGACACAAATCAGAGAAACTCCTCCTGTGATCTGTTCTCAGTTTCCTGATCCATAAAACAATGTGACTTGGAAAATCTATTATTTTGAATTTTGATTTATTATTTATTTATTAATATTTTATTTATTATTTTATGTGTATGAGTGTATTGCCTGCATGTAGATGAGTGCACCCATGTTATGCAATGCCACAGAGGCCAGAAGAGGGTTTTGGATTCCCCTGGAACTGGAGTTAAGGACGATTTGTAGCCGCCATGTGGGTGCTGGGAATCGAACCCAGGTGCTCAGTGCTCTTAACCGCTGAGCCATCTCTCCAGCCCCTATTTTTATTTTTTATTATGAGGCAGGATCTCATGTGCTACTGGCTCCCTACATAGCCAAGGACAACCTCAACTCCTGATCCTCTACTCTCTGTCTTCTGAGTGCTGTGATTACATGTGTGAAGTACTATGCCTGGGTTATGCAGTTCTGGCCTTTATGAATACCACACAAGTACTCTATCAACTAAACTACAGCTGCAGCCCTGGAAGTAGTTTAACAGCAATACATCAAGCTATCTGCTAAACAGAATATATCTCCTTTGTCAGTCATTGGAAAATATTGTTATTTTGGATATGAAACTTTTTAAGCAATAAGATTGTTCAAGAATGAACTAGAAAGAAAAACTGAAAGATTACACATGGACAAAGACAGCTCTGGAGACTAAAGAAATTCAATTCAAACAGTATGATGCTACCATGAAGGAGACAAGGATGGCTCATCTTATGCTTGATTTTCTTTCTTTTATTTTTATTGGTTTATGTAGGAAAATACATAGTGTGTCACAGACTTGCATGCTATTCTTATGAAGGGGCCATGTTAATCTTCTCTGTTTCCAAATTTAGTCTAGGTGCTGTTAAGGGAGAACAGTGCTTGGTTTCCAAAGCCCATACTTTGGGAGAATGAACCAGCAGAATCAGTGCCCCAGTATGAAGTCTACCCTCAAGTGGCTGTAGACAGAGGTGGGTACTATATACCTTGGAAAAATGCAGACAAGTGTCTTTCCTTAGTGAGCCTCAGCAAAGCCCACATACTTCCACCTTTTTCTATGGTATTTTGAATCTTAAGGGGTATCCGTTGTAAAACTTCCCTTTCTACTGTTACCAAGGAAACAGGGCAAAGAGCTCAAAACCAACCACAAGAGAGCTGTACATCTTCAATGGCCTTAAGATAGTTAATATCAGTCCAGCTTCCTAACAACACTTCTATCATTTCAGTAAGAACTAACCACACTGGTATATGATAGTACTTTATGTAACAGAAAGCATACCAGTTATGTTAACAGACGATCATGTGGTAGAGAATTGGTTCAATGGGAGATGAAGGGCTAAAAGCACATAAAGAACTCAGTGTGAAGAAAGGTGGAGGAAGAGAGGGAGAATGAGAGAGAGGAAGAGGGAAAGGAAGATGAGAGAGATATTTGCCTCCTCTAACATGGGGTGATGGCAAGTAGAAGGATCTTGGATGGTTAAAAGAAGCTAAAAACAAGCCAGCCTAGCACCCTACCTTAAAAGGCATGACTTTCTCTTCTCCTCCTCCCCTCCCCTCCTCTCTTCCTCTTCCTCCTTCTCCTTCTCCTCCTCCATCCCTTTCTGATATCCTCCAGGATGTTCAGCTTGCCTATTGTGCATTTCTAGCTCTAAAAAAAGGTCATCATTATAATGTGTCAGTTTCTAAATTACTTTGTTAACAAGACTAGATACCCACAAATGTAACCTCAATTCCCCGGTAACAGTGTGTACTATTTTTGAACCAAGACAGTGCCAGTCTCCTCTCCACTCCAACATCTTCCAGCCAGATTCTGCAGCTTGACTTTCAGTCCACATGGTGAATGTGATAGACTCATATCACAAAAGGAGCATGGTCCCAAAACAGATTCTGAGCCCTACACCCTCCTCTACCATCACTAATACTTTCTGGTCAGTGATACAGACTTCTGTTAACCTGATCTGTTTGCTAAGATTCTGTTTGTTTCAGCAGACAGTATGACTTATCTTTCTAGTATATAAATTGGTATCAACACATCAATCAATCCGTATTATTTATAATCAATAGGGACAATTTATATATTATTCAATATATAACCTACATGATAATGTTTACAAAAATATTATAGATTCTGTTCCCACTGGCACTCCTTGGCCTTGGCCCTGTCCTGTTGAAGCTTCCATCAGAGCACTTGACTAGCTGGGATGGAGACTATTACAGACGTTCAGAACTGATGAAACAGAGAGACTAAGTGTTTGTGAGATGCTTAACTCTATGTGACACATTGTCACTGCAACCTCTACACTTAGGATGAATGCATCTCCCAGCTCTCAGCAGAGATGTTTCCTTATGTAGCAGATGGTGATTAACACAGAAAACCACAACTAGCCAAAGTGTAGAACAAAAGACTGTCATGTATTGATCCCTAACATAGGATACCTATTTCAAACTTCTGCCTCCCAAGGTTCAGGGATCGTTGGGGAAGAAGAAGTGGAAAGAGTGTAAGAGCCAGAGATGGTGAATAACCATGAAGAAACAGAATCTTCCAGACAGCTGGTTAGGTACTCATATGAACTCACAACAATGGTGACAGCATGCAGCAAGCTCAAACAAGACAAAATCCCAGCACAGGCATGAGGAAGGGGGTAAGAAATCCCAACTTTTGGCGACTGATGCCTGCCAAGAGGAGGGAAGACAGTGTCTCTCAAGGATTGGACTCTTTGTGGGCCCAGTGGATGGACCCACTGAAAGACGTTTGGGACACAAATCAGATTTTATCAGTCATGGGGCAGTGGAGGGAGGTGTGAATAGGGAAGGGGATCTAGATACCATCAAATTATATTGCAAGAAAATAGCAACAATTCAGTAAAAACAAAATAAATATTATATTCACCAATATGAAAACTACAATGCTATTGGGGGAGGTGGAACACACCTATAATCCCAGCACTCAGGAGACAGAGGCAGAGTTGCCACAGATTTGAGGCCAGCCAGATCTATATAGCTAGCTCTAGGCTGGCCAGGACTGCATAATAAGGTCTCTCAGAAAGCCCAAAACAGGGCACGATAAGATGGTTCAGGTGGTAAACATGCTTGTGGTCAAGCCTGACCACCCAAGTTTGATCCTCAGGGTCCACACGGTAGAAGGAAAGAACCAATTCCTGCAAGCTGTCCCCTAACCTCCATATGCATGTTATGATATACATACATACACACATACACATATATAAGTAAATGTTTTTTAAAGTTTAAAAACTAAAATAAAACATAAAAGCAAAAACCAAAGCAAAACACCCTGATTGTCATTGCAAAAAAACATTTTTCCTGCCCTACATCTTAAAACACAAATATCATTCAAATGCAAAAATACTTAATACATCTTTTGTCTACAATCATTTGGAAGCAAAATCAAATGTTTACATAGTTACTGAGCCCAGAAAAAAAATACACTAAAAGAAAGCATTTTAATACATGCTGTTTGTTTTGGAATCTATTTGACAACAAATAAATAAGAAGGAGAAAAGACAGAGTAAAAAACACAGAGATACAGCGTATAGATAGACACTTAGAGTTTGTAGGACTGGAAAACAAATTGAGAGCTTTAGACCCCAAATAGCAACAGATGGAACTTACATATGGGTTTATTCAGACAGTAGATAAGAGTCTTTAATACAGCGATCATATTCAGAAAGCGCTATAGTCAGGCTTCATCTCCTCACCATCCCGACTGTTAAGATCAGCCAGCTTTTCACAGCCAGGAAGCAAGAAAATAAAGACAACTTAAGGCTTCTTCCCCAAATAATTTAAGGTATGTTTCTAGATGTCTGAAACTGACTAGAAATAAGTAAGTCGCAAATTGCACATATCATTCTGTTGCTGTGATAGAATACTGAGAAAATACTTAAAGGGAGGAATGATTTAATATTGGGTCAATGATTCTATGATTTCAGTTGTACTATGGGCTTGTGCTGAGGCAGAACATCTGAGAGAGAGAACATGGTAAAGGGAAGCTGCTCACATCATGGAGGCCAGGAAGCAGCGAGAGGGATCGGGAGGAGGGAGTTATCCCCTCCAAAGGTATATTCACAGTGACCTACATTCTCTAATCAGACCCCATCTACAATAATCCCGTCAGCTGTAAACTCATCTGTGACGGACTCACTGACTGGTAGCTTCATGATCCAATCAGCTCTCAATAGCACCACCAATTGAGGATCAAGCTATGCATACATGAGCTCTTGAGAGGACATCTTATATGTAAACCACAACAGAATCCTGCTAAGATTTGGAAGAAATGAAGTCAACAAACAAAACCAACATTCACCTACAAGTTCTGTGCTTCTTTGTTTTAGTATTTTTGCAAGTCCTATAGCAGGCCTCATTGAGGTCAGAAGGTGTCCTGTCCCAGGAGGACACTTGCCTCTGCACTAATTTCTGGGATGCCTGAGAAAAGGAGAAATGAATGTGGAGTGACTCCCCCCCGCAAGAGGTATAATGTTGCCTTATACCTATGACATTTTGCTTTTAAGTAAATAATTCAAGCTGATTAGTGTGTTCAGACACTAATCTATAATTATCTATTTATTGAGTTATAATTCCAGAAATTCTAATTGTGGATTTTTCTATTTCTCCCTTTGATTCTGACAGTTTTTACTAAATATGTCTTGGTGAAATCTTTTTAACTGATGTAAATATGTAAGATTATATCCTTCTCACAAACTATCTTTCTTGTCACTATAGAATATCCAACTTTATTGTAATTGTTCTCATAAGATATACATTGTCAAACAGGTTTCCTCATTACTGCAGCATGTGCACAATTTCTTCCTTATCACCAACTCTTCATGTAAATGGGATGCACTTTTTCATGTTTTTATTTTTCTTTTCAGTGCTGAAGGCAATACTCACAGTCTCACATATGTTGGACAAGTGTTTTACTACTGATCTACACCCTTAGCCCAATGGCTCTCTTTTTATTAATACAGTCTGAAGCTCTCTGCCTTTTAATTAGATTTTCGGGATTTATACTTAATGAAATTATAAAAAGTACTGACTTCATGCTCTCCATTGTGATAGTTTGTGTCTGTTAAATCTATCCATTCTTTCTCTTCCTTACCTCCCAACCTTCTTTTTTGGAATGAAATTCCAGACATTTTTAACTCATTCTAATAAGGTTTTAAGACTTAATCTTTACTCGTTGTTATCATGAATAAGATAATATACTATTGAGCACACTTCTCTTGGTTTATCAGAAAAGGATCATTTTTTCCCTCCTATATTTCTGTTGCTGGGATGTAGTTGAAGAAGGCAAGCATGAGGATACTGTTAGGCATCTTCCACTATGTGACACTGGGCATCAACCTTTTACTATTAATGTAAAGAGTTCATTTTACCTACTACCACATAAAAAAAAATGTTGTCAAAACTCATGCTAAATCAAGCATTGTTAAGTACTAAATTTCCTTGGTCACCTACTTTAGCATTTGTGTTAAAGAAGCAAGTCCAGTAAGGCTGAACTTCAGAGATCATCCTTAACCTGATGACTCGCAAAGTGTATAACTTGGTCCCAGATCATGTTCCTAAGCTCCCTGTAGTCTCACAGGCCCTCTAGAAAGTCCCACTTGATTGGTTGTGGGCACAAAAGTCATACACTTTAGGAGAACTAATGGTCTGTCCTTTGAGGCTGTTCCTCCGTGCGAAGGTGGATGAACTTCACCTTCACGCATGTTCCTGAGACAACAAGGTTATACGGCTCCCTTCCTTCCTTACTGCATGTCTGGTTGCTCCACAATTCTTCTGGATAACTCCATTTCCTTGGATCTCTACTTGCATTTTACACAGATTTAATTCACTGAGTCCTTCAAGTCTGACCATGTCACA